CACGGCTTATAGATACCTTTGATCGGCTTGTCTACTTCCACTTATTAATCGCACGTTGGATATGACTCCCGCTGAGCCTTCTCGACCTTATCCGTACCATGACCGGTCTCGCTCAATCCGCTTTCTAGCGGCGGCCTGCTTCGAATAGGATATAGGCATGTGACTTCCTGCCGGGACCAGCACATTCCGCAAGTCCGGGCGCCCAGGCTACCGTTTCCTCGATCGGAGAACCACATTGATTCCGTTCTGTACCCACTGTGACGGTGACATTAATCACCCCTGCAGTGGAGGTGTTGATTAGATGCATTGTTGGAATTGGTCCAAATCGGTTTAAAAACACAATGGGTTTGGGTGTGGGTTCAATTAACACCCATACTTGTTTTTTAAAGCACATCGTTTCCTTTTTAAGTCCTTTGTTTTATGCACCCCATTAGGCCCCTAGGTGTTTTTTTAAATGTAGAATTATTTGGGCAACCGTCACAGGAGGTTTATGAATGGGATATTTAAGGGAATGGCCCCTAACTTTGTGGTTTTGCGTCACCTTTAAGGCAAAGCAGTTGGGGGAAAAAAGACAAAACCAAACTCCCCATCACCTAAAAAAATAACCTTTTGACTATAGCTTTGTTGTACGTTGTCAAGTGACAGAAATTCGGTGGACTAAAAAATGTTTTTTGTACTTTTAGCCGCCCAAGGGTGGGAAAGACCAGACCACTTACCTTTTTAACTGAAATACCTTGAAAGTAAGGCGGAGAAGGTTAACAAGTGAAAGACTGGGTTGGCCTATTGGCATCTCTAAGGGGTCACTTCTTTAACTTTTTGTTAAGCACCAAGTCGGTGGGATGCGCGATGACGACGACAGACTCCCAACGACTCTTGTGCTGAAGACCTGGGAAAATAAATCACCGGGGCAGTTGCAAAGTTTGTAACATGAATAGGTTGGCCTTAAATTGTGTGTTTTACTTTTTAGCAAGCAAGCTGGGGGGGAAGACAGGGCCAACTAAACTTTTTACTGAATACCTTTACTCTAGGCTGGAGAGTGTGGGAAAGTAATAGGTGTGTGTGCCTAAATTGTTTTTTGGTACTTTTTTTAGCAAGCAAGTGGGAGGAAGTACAAAACCATCGCTGTAATACCTTGACTATGTACAGTTTTAATGACTTGGTATAGATTAGTTTCCATAATTTTTGGTTTCTGGTGGTTGGTTTTTTTACCTGAAGACTTGCTCATTGTTTACTTGGTTTTTGTGTTTGTTGGTTTTTACATTCATGTGTTTGTTTTTTGTGTTCCCCTAGGGATCATGAACTACGGTAGATCTGGAGGTGTTTCTTTTGGAACCGCAGACGCGCCTCAAGGGCCCAAGTTTTGGTTGGAACCGGGTTACCGTGCTAAGCTCCACTTTGTTAGGGACCGGGAGAGCTGCAGAGGTCAGGGGGTTCGTGGAGGACAACCTACCACAGGCCGTGCACACCGAGAGTTATGCTGGTGAGTCCACTCGGTAGTGGGAACATTCTGAGTGTGAAAACCTGTTTTGGCAGCAAGCACGAAATTTGCGGGGAAACGCTTTACACACGGCAAAGTTTGTGAAGACTTTAAGATTCTGCACTTCTTGAGGTTTACCTCGCAGAGTTTGACAGTTGCCTCGTGCAAGTCGCCAAATTAAAGTTTAACCCCATTACGTTGCATTGATGGGTAGCGGCTTTCTCATATAATCACTTCACATTTAATTTTAACCCTTTTCTCTCAGACCTGATCTCCTACAAGCTGGAGAGGCAAGACCTGGTTGTCAGCGAGCTGTTCACGTTATTCAATTCCTCGCGATCCCGTGTCGGGATTCTGGACTGGGGAATCAAAATGACAACACTTGAAGACGGTAAGGCAAACCTATACATTTTCAAAATGTTGCACTGTGCACTGTGTTAGTGTGTTTATTAACTCCACCTTCTCCCTTTCATTTAGTGTTTCTGAACGTAGTCCGTCGTAACTCTGCCAACCCGGGGTCCTCCAAGAGGTCGCGAACCCTCTGTCCGTCCTGGGTACCGTGCCAGTTCTCCGTTGCCAAGGGAGACAACAATTAGCTGGAAGCATTTTTAATTAGTTTGCATTTTTTTAAACCTGCATTTTTGAACACCATAACTTATATCTAGATCGTTTATCCTGTGTGTTGGCATCAATTGCTTGGCTTTTGGGGTTGCTAATAATTTGCGCATGCGTGCTTCTGATCAGGGCGTGGCTCTGTCGGGCGCAGTTCGGAACGGAACGAACGGGGACAGCTGTACCGGAAGTCGGAGTTCAACAAAGCTGCCAGCAGACGACACACTCTCTCTCTCTATCGCTCTTTCCTCCGCATCGGCTCCCTGCAGATCGAGAGATCGAGAAGGTGGGAGCAGGCGAGGAGAGCGTGGACCCAGCTAGAGAAACACAGCGAAACAGACCGACAGAGTCTGCCAGCCGTCTCCAGCCGGTCCCTATACGAAGATGGCGGGCTCCAAGAAGACGGCAGCTGGAGCTCCGGGGAGCAGCGGAGGAGGAGCTACAGTAGAGCCGCTGCGAAAGTTCGGAGTTACGTCAGAGCAACTGGTGGAGCTAATGAGCCTCCGGACGAAAGAGGAGCGCTCGCAAGCCCTCGCGGAGTACGAGGGAGTCGAGGGGCTCATGGGCCACTTGGAGGTGAACCGTAAGACTGGGCTCCCCGCAGACTCGCACGAACTCGTGAGGCGGCGAGCGGCCTTTGGAACAAACGTCATACCCTCAACTCCGCCAAAAGCCTTCATAGCTCTCTGCATAGACGCCATACAGGTAAAGGTCCATCTCCTTTCTCTCCCAGTTATTATTCTGTGGATACCTGTTATGTATTCCGCATAAGTCCTCTTTTTCCAGTGCCTGTGTATATTATTGTTACATATACACTAGTATTTTACATATTCCTGCGTAATTTGCTCCTTTTTTTTACCTATTACGTATGTTGCCATGACTATTCATTTACAGGATAAAACGTTGATCATTCTGATGTGTGCGGCTGTCCTGAGCATCATCCTGGGAGTGACTGTTGAAGACAACAAGTCGATCGCGTGGATCGACGGCGCCGCCATTCTCTCAGCTGTCGTCATCGTTGTCCTGGTAACAGCCGCCAACGACTGGACGAAGGAGAGACAGTTCCGTGGTCTGCAGAGGAAGTTGGAGTCGGACTCAAAGTGAGATTACACGTCCTAAAATGATTAGAAGCAAGTTCTCCTGAAATAGTTGGCAGTAGGCATTTCCACCCGGAATAATACACTGTTATACACGTGTACAAAGTCCCATAGAGTGGTGTGGCTGACTATAGCACGCACAAGCAAGGGAATGGTTGAAGGTATAGGAACTATAGGGATGTGTGGTGTGTTCAGAGCACTTGCTGGGAACATTGGTGTACATGTTCGACCAATTCATAGGGTGTGTTAGTAGCCGATGTGATACATTCCCCCCCTCTCTCCTCTCTCTCTCTCTCTCTCTCTCTCTCTGCAGGTTCTCAGTGGTTAGAGGAGGCGACACAATCGAAGTCACACACGCTGATCTCGTTGTCGGGGACATCGCTGAGTTCAAATATGGCAACACTTTCCCAGTCGACGGGATACTTGTCCAGGTGGGCTCATAAATATGTCATTAACTCAGGGGCTCTCAAATAGCTTGTTTGCAAGAAATGTTGTTGGGGGGAAAGGGGTGTCCTTAGAGAATGGTTCCACTGTACTTGCTACATGATAATGCATGCTACATCTACATACATACACACACACACACACACACACACACACACAGGGAAACGACGTGAAAGTTAGCGAAGCAGCTCTCACGGGAGAAGCTGAACTTGTCCGTAAGAACGAGACTTCCAGTCCAATGCTCTTTTCTGGCACCCAGGTTCGTACGTAATCCTTTACGTCATCTTCTCATTTTTTCATCTCTTCTTTCTTCTTTTTTCTCTTTTTCTCCCAACTGCTTGTTCTTATTATGGTACCACGTATTAATTAGTGATTAGCTGATTCGAATCGACCAATCAGATTTGTTAGCTGTATTAATTATTTCTCCCACGGTGTAATACTAAATCTATTCAGGTGATGGAGGGGCGAGGTACTATGCTAGTGACTGCAGTGGGTCCCAACTCCCAACAAGGCCGCATCTTTGCTCTCATGAGGGGAATTGAAGAGGAATCTGGTCAGTCCGGTTTGTCCGGTTTTAACAATACAAACATGATGTACCGTATAACCTTGAAATTTGGCGCTCGTGAAATCAAAGATTTATGTTTCATCACCAAGCCCCCATTGAATCTGCCGAGTTTTTCGTTAGACTTGCTTTCTATATATACATAGCACAGTGAACACCATTTTAGCCAATATCTTGTACACACTCAATGTTCTGTATATAGGGTTTATTACTGAGGCGCTGAAAAAGCTGCGTGGCAAGATGTCCAAGAGCGCAGAGGAGCCCACGGATCCTGAAACCGGTGCCGGTAGGCCTGGGGTCGAAGGTCAGGTAAAGGCGGACGAGGCCGAGGAGGAAGCAGCTGTCCAGGTGAATACCTTTCATTTTAATCACCCGGTTTCCTCTCCCTTCCTCTCTCCCTCTTCTCTCTCAGGCTGAGGTATTTGAATACCAGCCTTCTGACCCGCCAGGCAAAGAAACCGGAATTATCGGCCGCGTCAAGCAGTACCGCGAGAAACGACGCCAACAGAAAGAAGAAGCAGAAGAGGATAAGGAGGGCGTGTCGTCCGAGAGCGTTCTGCAGAAAAAGCTAAACAAACTCGCAGTGCAAATCGGATACGGTGGTACCGTGGCAGCTATAGTCTGCATTCTCGTTCTCACGGTTCGATTCTCGATCGAGGAATACGGAGTCAACGGACGCGGATGGAATTCTAGTACCGATTTCTCGCAAATTCTTCACTTTGTCATCATCGGAATCACCGTTCTCGTTGTTGCTATCCCCGAGGGGTTGCCCCTAGCCGTTACCATAGCACTGGCGTTCTCCGTGAAGAAAATGCTGAAAGATAATAATCTCGTTCGTCATCTCCATGCCTGTGAAACCATGGGCAACGCGACGTCAATCTGCTCGGACAAGACGGGGACCTTGACGACCAATAGGATGACTGTCGTCGAGAGTTACTTCGCTGGAATTCATTATGATGTCACCCCTAAAGCGGAGGATCTCCCGGGGAACCTGTTGGAGATGTTGAAAGATTGCATCGCAATAAACAGCAACTACACTTCGCTTCTCTTAGAGCCGGTTTGTAATGAGGATGACCTGTTTATTACTAGTACTAATTGGATGAGGCTTTACCTCCTACAAATAGGACCTCACTTAATCAGGACCCACCTTCTAATCAGGACACCTCACTTAATCAGGACACCTTACTAATCAGGACACCTCACTTAATCAGGACACCTTACTAATCAGGACACCTCACTTAATCAGGACACCTTACTAATCAGGACACCTCACTTAATCAGGACACATCACTAATCAGGACACTCACTAATCATGACACCTCACTAATCAGGACACCTAACTAATCAGGATGCATTAGCACACAAGAATAAATTAACTACAAACAAGCTTGTTAATAATCAGATTACTTCCGCCCGTCTCACAACAACTAATGACGTGCCAACCACGTGGTGTGCTCCAATTAGGGTAAGGAGTCGTCGGGGGCAACTGAGACGGACCTGTCGCTGAAGGAAAGGGTTCTGAGGCTGTTGCCATGGAGAAAGGCGGGCTCCAACCAGCTACTGGGGCAGGGCCTGAAACTGCAAGTCGGCAACGTGACTGAGTGTGCTCTTCTGGGCCTTCTCGAGGAACTGAGTCAGTTTTAATGGCGATGTGGCAGTACACACAAGGGCTAAATTTAGAAATGTTACTAAAGATAGAATTAACCGGTAGTGCCCAGTGCAAGAATGGAACTGTAGGTTCTCCATTTTCAGTCAATACCTGAAGTAGGCCGTAAATTTGAGGTCGTTTTCTTGTTAGTATTGCCCTCTTGTAAACATTCTCTCTCTATCTCTATCTCTCAGACGTCGACTATGCCTCAATACGTGAAGCTCATCCAACCGGCTCCTTCTCAAAGGTCTTCACGTTCAACTCTGCTCGTAAGAGCATGTCCACCATCATCCCCCTGCCATCTGGCGGCTACCTTCTCCTGTGCAAGGGGGCCTCGGAGATCGTTCTCGGCAAATGTAGCAGTGTCGTCGGCGAGAACGGACGTATTTTGCCGCTGAATGCCGGAGAGAGAAAGAATATCATCAACACCGTGGTGCAGCCGATGGCAAACAACGCTCTAAGGACTCTATGCATGGCTTACAAGTTAGTTAGAGAGAAGGGTATGCAGCAGGCGTAAAATTTCTTGGGGCATTGTAAGAATTTTGCGCAAACATTTTTTCGGCTTTAAGCACCGCTATGACACGGGGAGTAAAAACTTTAACCCTTTCCCTCCAGGGAGATCCCGGCTCAATCTGCGGAAGAGGGGGCAGAGATATCGTCGCAGAGTCCAGATTTTGACAATGAAGGGGTCATGGTGTGCGGACTGACGTGTATAGGGATAGTGGGCATCCAGGACCCGTCAGACCTGAGGTAATGATTGCTGTACATAGTGGGCATCCAGGACCCCGTCAGACATGAGGTAATGATTGGAACTGAAAGTTGACGGTGATCCACAACAACACTTGATGAAATAGCCTAGTATATACATATGTCTATATGTATTATTCCATTCCGACGACTTTGCACAGTACTTTAGTTTCTAACTTTGCAGTTTACTTTCTCTAGTCTCTCTCCCCGTAGCTTTACACATCTTATTTTCATGCTTTTCACATATTCATAGGTATCATCGCTCTGTGTGTGACAAATTCGACTCTTCATTGTCTGCATCATAACACACACACTCTCTCTCTCTCTCTCTATCTCTCTCCCCCTTTACTAAAGGTTCCACGCTGCATCCAGCAGTGTCAAGAGGCTGGGATAATAGTGCGGATGGTGACCGGGGACAACATTGACACTGCCAGAGCCATCGCACTAAAATGTGGCATTATATCTGAGGATCACGGGAAGGACAAGGACAGGGTCATGGATGGAAAGGAGTTTAATCGACGAATCAGAGAGAGAGAAGAGGTAGAGTGTTTGGGTTTGAATTTTGTGTTTTTTGAGAGTTTAATATTTGAATCAGAGAGAGGAGAGGTAGGGGAAGGAAGTGTTTAAACTTGAATTTGGTCGCTATGCTAATAAATATTTTATTACGATAGTTTAAACCAAGGAGTGGGGAATAAGAATAAGGAGTGACTGTATATATTAAGTGCAGTTGTGTCAAAGTTCTCGAAATTTTGCCAAATTTTTCTGCTTGAGCTCGGTCCTAGTATATACCACTCACGTGTTTGCTTCTTACAAGAAAGCCCCATGTCCATGTTGTACTGCTAGGGTGAAAGTGATATCTAGTAAAACATGTTTACAACCTGTTGTTATCACTTTCAACCAATATTCTGCAGGTGAGTCAGCAGCTGTTTGACCGTATGTGGCCAAGGCTGAGGGTCCTGGCGAGATCTTCCCCCGAGGACAAACACACTCTTGTTGACCACATCATCCGATCCAAACTCAGCAAGAACAGGGAGGTCGTCGCGGTAACTGGAGACGGGACGAACGACGGACCGGCGCTGAAGAGGGCAGATGTTGGATTTGCCATGGTGAGTGGGCGGGGCCAGTCCAGGGAAGCTAGCAGATCAGGAAAAACTTGGGAAATCTTTGTAATTGGCAATAAAAGCAAACCTATGTATACATAGTTGTCTTACATAAGGAATGTTGTGGTAGTGTATATAATTCTACTTCCTGGTGGAGTGAAATAGTTAGTCATGGGAGCAGAGAGAGAGGATGTGGGAAGGCAAAAACATGAGCAGTTTGCCATTTCATTTCCTGTCAGAGAGTCCCACATGACATACTATGAATACTTGATGTTTACAGGCCATGCCTTTGTGCATGTTAGCTAGCTGCCTTGTGACTCAGTTGGCAGCTCTATTTAGTAATCACAGAACTCCATTTGCATTCGTTCTAGTATCACCTGACTTCCTTACATACTTCCTGTTTGTCTGTGCCTTACTGGGTTCATTACCTCTCACAGGGTGCTCTGCAAACAGCAAACTGTACTCTTGTTTACTGGTTTCTCTTTCTATTTCTGTCTCCAAACCCACAGGGAATAGCTGGGACTGATGTCGCCAAGGAGGCATGTGACATCATCTTGACAGACGATAACTTTGCCTCCATCGTCAAGGCGGTGAAATGGGGCCGCAATGTCTACGACTCCATTTCCAAATTTCTCCAGTTTCAGCTCACCGTCAATGTCGTTGCCGTGTCGATCACCATCATATCGGCGTTTACCATCACCGACAGCCCACTGCGTGCCATTCAGATGCTGTGGGTTAATCTCATCATGGACACCCTCGCCTCGCTCGCACTGGCGACCGAAAATCCCACAGACGACCTGCTAAAACGAAGGCCCTACGGACGAACCAAGGCTCTCATATCTCGCCACATGTGGCTGTTTATTATCGGTCACTCCATTTATCAACTGACGACTTTGCTAGTGCTAGTTTTTGCCGGAGCTCAACTTTTTGACATTCAGACTGGCATCGGAAGAGAACTTCGCGCCACACCAACCCAGCATTTCACCGTCGTTTTCAACGCTTTCGTCTTCATGCAACTCTTCAACGAGATCAACGCACGCAAGATTCACGGCGAGCGAAACGTGTTCGATAAAATCTGGACAAACTGGATTTTCCTGTCGGTGATGATCGTGCAGACCTCGGTCCAGATCATCATAGTGCAGTTTGGGAGTGTGATATTTGGAACGGCGGAACTGGGCTGGGACCTGTGGATGTGGTGTGTTTTCCTGGGCAGTTTGGAACTGGTCGTCAATCAACTCCTCCTACTCATCCCAGTCAACAAACTTCCTCTCAAGAAACTGAAATTATGGAAATGTGAGTTTCATTTTCTTCTCTCTTCCATCCTCTCTTTTGCTAACCATGTCTCTCTTCTGATGGAAAATCGTACTCCCTCCTCTCTCAATCGTCATGTAGCCAAAGAAGAGGTGGACACGTATGAGCAGCCGTATGATCCTGATGAGAACACCAGAGCTCAGGTTCTTTGGATGAAGAGTCTGCGTCGCATTCAGACTCAGGTACTGTATACACTGTATAGTGTGTGTATATATGCATATAAAACGATGTACATATGTATACAGAACACCCTTTACTTTCTAGTCAAAAATAAGATTGTACTGCACTCTCCAGCTATAGTAGAGATATTCAGCAAGGTTAGTTGCATGCCTTCCCTCCACTTGTTTGCTAAAAGTACAAACAATTTAGGCCACCCTAGTTTTCACTACACTCTCAAGCTATAGCCAAGGTATTCAGAATGGTTGGTTGGCCTGTCCTTCTCCCCACTTGCTTGCTAAAAGTACGAACAATTTAGGCCACCCTATTCTTTCACTGCACTCTCCAGCTATAGTCAAGGTATTCAGGATGGTTGGTTGGCCTGTCCTTCCTCCCACTTGCTTGCTAAAAGTACAAACAATTTAGGCCACCCTATTCTTTCACTGCACTCTCCAGCTATAGTCAAGGTATTCAGGATGGTTAGTTGGCCTGTCCTTCCCCCCACTTGCTTGCTAAAAGTACAAACAATTTAGGCCACCCTATTCTTTCACTGCACTCTCCAGCTATAGTCAAGGTATTCAGGATGGTTAGTTGGCCTGTCCTTCCCCTCCCACTTGCTTGCTAAAAGTACAAACAATTTAGGCCACCCTATTCTTTCACTGCACTCTCCAGCTATAGTCAAGGTATTCAGGATGGTTGGTTGGCCTGCTCTTCCCCCCACTTGCTTGCTAAAAGTACAAACAATTTAGGCCACCCTATTCTTTCACTGCACTCTCCAGCTATAGTCAAGGTATTCAGGATGGTTGGTTGGCCTGTCCTTCCCCCCACTTGCTTGCTAAAAGTACGAACAATTTAGGCCACCCTAGTTTCACTGCACTCTCCAGCTATAGTCAAGGTATTAAGGATGGTTAGTTGGCCAGTCCTTCCCCCCACTTACTTGCTAAAAAGGTTACAACTACACCGTCACCATCTCATGCAAAACACCACTTGTTCTATTTAGAGCACACTATTCCATATAGAGCACACCATGTTCACTTGGTTTGTTTCAGATTCGAGTGGTGAATGCATTCCGTTCCACCCTGGAGTCGGGACACCTTCTCCACGTCTCCATGTTACCAACACTGCAGGAGACCCCGCGACCGGGTCGTTACCAGAGCAACCAAACAATCGAAGGCAGGGTGACGTCGGTATGATGTCACCCCACATTCCATTATCGTATCAAACTCGTTATTATTTAGGATACACAATGTTTCAAACTGTACGTATATATAAATGTGTATGTCATTTACTGTGCTACATAGAATCGCCTGCTCTTTGCAAAGCCTCTGTTTACTACTGGAACCACTTCAGGAGGGTTGACATTGCGTGCTCTAGTCACAGGTTCTGCGTTGTCTAGGAGCTTCAACACACACTCTAGATTTCGGTTGGCCTGCTGTAAGTGCTGCGATCTGATGAGAAAGTTTCTCATTTTTTCGAGCCAACTCTTCATGTGATTTGGCCAACAACAGAAGATGCTTCTGCGTGCTCTCTTGACAATGGCTATCGATGTGTGCACGTTGCATAACTTCCGTGCAGCCAACGTATCTGAAAGGGCAGTCGAGCGGTTCCAGTAAGCAGGCTGCGCGATGGGTCTTCATGTCCCTACGCTTGATGTTCTTTTCTCCACAATCGTTTGGACAGTCTAGCGGGTACTGGGCACATTGGTCGTAATGGCTGAATCTGCAGCCGATCCCTACTATGGCGCCATACGAGGCTGTATGTCCACAATGCTCACAAGTGTATCTACGACCTATACACAGCTTTTCTAGGTGCTCAAGTACAAACTGCCTCTCCATTCTTTCCCTGCACCCTTTTCCGCACACAACTACAACATTTTCAATGTAATATACCGTCTCTAAAATAATAACTAGCTATCACCAGTCGTCATCATCATAATGTGTAGAGTCTTCATCGTAATGTGTAGACTGATCGTAACGTGGACAATATGAAGCGCTCATCCAATTTCTTCTACCGATCCAAGTTCTGGACCTAGGTCTGTCGGTTGCTGCTAACACTAATGCTGCGGTATCAGGTATAGGTGTAGTATTCTTTTTAGTAAGTTTCTCAATCTCATTTTCCAGCTTGTCATTCTTGCGTGCCAATTCCTCACACTTACGAGCCAGCTCCTGATGCGACTTGGCTACCAGCAGCAGATGTTTCTGCATTTCATGCTGACAATGATCGTCCATGTCTTCACGCAGGATTGGGCCTACACAACCAGCAAACTTGAAGGGGCAGTCTAGTTGCTCAAGAGGACACCTTTGTCGATGAAATGACATATTTCTACGTTTGATATTCCTTGCTTCACACCGATTCGGACATTCAAGTGGATAGTCTTGGCAAATATCGTAATGACATGTCTTGTTTCGTACAGATGCACCCTTTCCGGTGATGGATACATAAATTCCGTGTTGATTGCAGTACATGCACGTGTATGGTCGAAACTCACACTCTTCTGCCTTGTGTCGTTCCATGTCCCTTCGCAGGATCTTTCTTTGATGAGTACCAAGGGGACAATCAAGTGGCTGGAGAGGGCATGTGCTGCAATGAGCACTCATATTATTTCGTTTGATTTTTGTTGCACCACATTTGTTGATACACTCTAGTGGGTACTGCTCGCACTGTTCACAATGACTAGGACCTTGTGCTTCCCAGTACTTCCCCTTACCAGACATAGTATAAAATTCCCCAACGTGCCCACAATATTCACATTCGTGCGGACGAAAATCCCAGTCTATTTTGTGGCTCTCTACGTCTTTTCTAAGAATACCATTTCTGCAGTAACTGCTGAAAGGGCAACGCATTTTCTCCAGAGGACAAGCATTTCGATGGGACTGCATCTCCCTCCGTTTGATATCCTTCGCTCCGCATTTATTTACACACTCAAGTGGATATTGGTCACATGTACTGTGATGATTACCAAAGCCTGTAACTTTCGAATCCTTTCTTATATTTCCAGATCCAGTTATGGCATCATGAACGTCAACATAGCCACAATATTGACAAGTACACCGACGGTACTCACAATCATTTTCCTTATGTGTAGCCAGATGTTGTCGCTCAATTTCCACCCCACAAACCAAACGCTCTACTGCTCTGCCAAAACCACATTTATATGCATCATTGCTGCATTTCACTATAACAAATTGGCAACCACTTTCGGACTCGAGATGTTGTTTTATATCTCCCAGCTCACTCTCCCACTTGCACCCCTTCTTAACATTAGAGCACCGAATACGAAGCTTCTTTATTTCACGGATCTTTTCCTTGTTCAGGACATGTTTGAATCTTGGCGTGCGACAGTGGGGGCAGATTTTCTTGGAATTAGAACTAAACCACTGTGTGAGGCAGGAGTGGCAGAAATGTTGCCCGCAGCATTCCGCGAGGCGAGCTTCCCTCAGAACCTTGGTACAGATGCAGCAGATGTACTTGGAAGGGACCTCGTCTACAAACTCATAATCGTATCCTCCACTCTGGGCCTCTGCTTGCCTGAAGAAAACTTACTGCTTGACTGAGCAAGGCCGAGGTAAAAGGTCCCTATGCATAACTACAGCACAGATTAAGAGAAAGCAAGTTCAAATCTTCAGTGGTCTTGTGACTCTGCAGTTGCTAGGAAACAAGGTATATACATGAATAATGTTGGTCTCACTGAAGTAATTCATAGGGCCTACTCCATCTTTTCATACCAAAGTTAATTCCTGAGAGGATGCCCACCTATTATGTTATTCATTATCTAGATGACTGCAATCTCAACATTAAAGAACCAAAATATACTCTTATAAAGTCTGTATAAGTCAATTGATACTGCCTCTCTTCTTAGCCGTGAGTATATATTTAAATCGCAAGAGGTCAGGTCTCATGATGCTTGTTGCCTACTAGAGTAAAAGAACAATAGAGAAGTGTGTGTGGACACACTTCCTTATCAGGAGTAGTGCAGCTGTCTGCTAACTCCCAGGGAAGGTGACAGCTAGCTAGTCCGATATGTAAACAGCAACAAACTGCCTGGGCTTTCCCTCTTGACCACACTGGGCTGTTGGCGCAGTCGTGACGTAATGCCTGAAGGCTGCACATGCGGCACTCTGGGCCCAGGCGGTAATAACTAATACTTAGCTACACATGTGTGCCATGCATGTCATGCAAAAGCGAGTGCAAAAGTTTAGCTAGTGACCATAGTATATACAGCACATGTGATTACAACCATGCATGTTTATCCAGGATGTTTACCACATTCTAAGAGAGCAATGCACACAATGCTATGGTGCCTCTAAAACATAAACGTGTTAGTGTCATAACTGAGTCGGATCCGTTTAGGATTTGGAGCCAGTTCCTCAACCTTACGAACTAGTTCCTCGTTCTTGCGAGTCAACTCGTCACATTTTCCGGCTAACTTCTGATGTGCCTCTGCCACCAACAGCAAGTGGTTCTGCACGCCTTTGTTGCAATGCCTGTCCATGTTCTTACGTAGAACGGGAAGACTACAACCAGCATACTTGAAAGGGCAGTTGAGTTTCTCCAGAGGACACCTCTCTCGATGGAGTGGTATATTCTTGCGTTTGATGCTCTTTTTTCCACATTTGTTGGGACATTCAAGTAGGTATTGTCCGCACACGTCGTAGTGACATTCTCCTTGCAGAGGGGATTCCCCTTTGCCTGTGATGGATTTGTAAGTCCCACGTTTCATGTAGCAGTACCTACATCTATACGGACGGTGCTCGCAATCTAACTTATGTCCCTTCATATTCTTTCGCAGTATCTTCTTTGCAGGTTGATGACTGCCATACGGGCAGTCCAGATGCTCTAAAGGGCAGTTATCTCGATGAGTCCTCATATCCTTACGTTTTATATTCTTCTGATCGCATTCGTTGACACAATCTAGTGGATAGTGCTGACACTTCTCATAGTGACTCGGCTCATGTGACGCGTATTTCCCTTTGCCAGTTATGGACGCAAATGTGTTTACTGCCTCCCCAGAGCCAACTATGGCGTCGTATGTGTCAGTGTAGCCACAGTATTCGCATTTGTACTGGCGGAATTTACACTCCCTCTCCTGGTGTGCTAGCTAAGAACTGTCGCTCCACTTCCACTTCACACCTAGTAGACATCGTCACACGTGGGCGGAGAGTAACGTACGCCCGTTTGCTACACTTTACCAGGACGTATCGGCAGCCGCTGTCCGAGTGGAGATGGTCTTTTAGTGTTCCCAGTTCCCCTACCCAATTGCAACCCTTCGCTCGGTGAACGCAGCTAATTCGGAGCTCATTGATCTCCCGCATCTTCTCCTTGTTCAGAACGTTCGCGAAGTTGACCGCGCGACAGTGTGGACAGCTAGTCTGTCGTCTCGACCACTGCGCGAGGCAGGAATCGCAGTAGTGCTGGCCGCAGCATTCCGCTAAGCGAGGATTTCTGAGAACCTTGGTACAGATGACGCAGATGTACTTGGGAGGGACCTCGTCCACGAACTCGTAGTCGTATCCCACGCTGTCATCTTCTGCCAGTCCACTGGAGGGAGAAATAGATGACCTTATGTTTTGCCCAGTCTCGCAGGGCATAGTGAGACCACTCTAGCCCGCGAGACTACCTGTAGTAGCGCTGCAAAGACTTACCTACGGCTGGCCATGGCCGAGGTATAATAATACTCTATGCGCGCGCATGTGCATATGGACACCTAGCAAAACAATATTATACTACTCAAGTTTAGCTAGGGGTAGTTATTATTGCTACACTACATCAAGTATTCAAGCATCAATTAGGAAATTGAAAAGAGAAAGGATGTGCACCACTCCTAACTCTTCTCTCCAGGGCCTCCAGATGTCTCATTACACTTTGACTTTGACGCTCTAATTCCTGGTTTTTGTGCACCAACTCCGTATTTTTTCGAAGCAGTTCGTCATGTGACTTCATCATCATCAGCAGATGAGTCTGCATGTTGGTCTGACAGTGACCCTCCATATCACGACGTGCCATCTTTGAGGTGCAGCCAACGTTCTTGAATGGACAGTCCAGAGACTCCAGTGGACACTTTTCCCTGTGGCCTGAAATGTCACCGCGTTTGATGGCCTTTTCTCCACATTTATTAGGACATTTCACTGGATACTGCCCACATACTCCATAATGGTTTGAACTAATGGAGGATTCCAGTACCACGGAGGTGTATTTCCCCACTTCCAGCGATTGCATCATAAGTATCGACATGGCCGCAATGTTCACATTTGTAGCTACGAAATTTGCATGTTTCTCGGTGTTTAGCTAATGAGCGTCGTTCACACTGTACATTACATTTGGTTGCAGAGAGAGATATATCCAGAATTGCCACATTTAACCATTACAAACCCACATCCATCATCTGATTTGATATGTTTCTCCAAATCCCCCAGTTCCCCCACCCAGTCACACCCCTTCTCGTGGTTGGTGCACTTTACACGAAATTCGTTGATTTCACGAATCTTTTCCTTATTTGGGAAGCTCTGAAAACCTTCCTGGCGACAATGTGGACATGTTTTTGTCTCCCTTTGCGTTGCTGAGGCAAACCACTGTTCGAGACAAGAGTCACAATAATGCTGTCCACAGCAGACGGTAAGACGAGCTTCTCGAAGGACCTTGGAACATATTTGGCAGTAGTACTTGCTCGGTATTTCATCTACGAACGAGTATTCGTATCCTCCGACTCCAGCACGCCGTCCAGCACTCTTACGCGTGGCCATTAGCGATCACCACCCCTCTTTGTCACACTGCGCCGTGCCACCGCCCCTTTATGCGCGGTCCAATCCGGAGCTGAGCGTGCACAGGAGAAATCGCACATTTTTTGTGGGCGGGGGACATCGCTAAAGTCACAAGTTCTCGTCAGTTTTCTCCTCGAAAGTTCCAGCTATATACGGTACACAGCCCATTCAACAGTACATAAGTTGATGCAATAATCCTCTAGCCTATTATGTAGACTACAGTTCAGTCAGGTTCATTCATGGAGGATGAGGGATTGAAAGCATCGTCAGCTTCCTGCATTGCATAGGGAGAAAAAAACAGTTTCATTTGCAACTATTCTGTGATGTATTAGTAGAAAGCCTCACAAATGATGCGTTGTTATTGTTGTTGTTTGGTGGGTGTGGCTCTTTGTCCTGAGACTCCGCCTCTTCCTGTTCCATTGTCTCCTCGTCATGACTAGTCTCACTGGGGTTATACCTCTTCTTCCTCTGCTTCACCTAGCGACACACACACATACACAATACAGAAGTTGAATTATCATTTTCAATAGGGTAGGGACGGCTCAAAATAATTATGAAAAAGGAAAGGACACAGCTAGTCTTCTTTCTTGCTAAAAAAGTTACCATTATGCCGTCACCAAGGCTCATGCATAACACCACTTGTTCCATTTAGAGCACACTATTCCATATAGACCACACCACGTTCACTTGGTTTGTTTCAGATTCGAGTGGTGAATGCATTCCGTTCCACCCTGGAGTCGGGACACCTTCTCCATGTCTCCATGTTACCAACACTGCAAGAGACCCCACGACCGGGTCGTTACCAGAGCAACCAAACAATCGAAGGCAGGGTGACATCAGTATGATGTCACCTCACATACCATTATCGTATAAAAACTCATTATTAGAATACACAATTTTGCATACATGTATATTATGTATGTTACATAAACATATCTGGTCAAACATACAGACACAATGAGTAATGACGTACAAATGGGAAAGTTATCTCTTTTTCCTCTTATCCTCAAGAGCGTTTACACGTTTCGTAAGTGCCTCATTTTTTCGAAGCACTTCGTCATGTGATTTCATCATCATCAGCAGATGAGTCTGCATGTTGGTCTGACAGTGACCCTCCATATCACGACGTGCTATCGTTGAGGTACAGCCAACGTTCTTGAATGGACAGTCCAGAGACTCCAATGGACACTTTTCCCTGTGATCTGAAATGTCACCGCGTTTGACAGCCTTTTCTCCACATTTATTAGGACATTCCACAGGGTACTGCCCACATACTCCATAGTGGTTTGAACTAATTCTAGATCTGGTATCAATGAGGTACATTGCCCCACTTCCAGCAATTGCATCATAAGTATCGACATGGCCGCAATGTTCACATTTGTAGCTACGAAATTTGCATGTTTCTCGGTGTTTAGCTAATGAGCGTCGTTCACACTGTACATTACATTTGGTTGTACCGTACGGGATATATCCAATATTGTCACATTTAACCATTACAAACCCACATCCATTATCTGAATCGATATGTTTCTCCAAATCCCTCAGTTCCCCCACCCAGTCACACCCCTTCTCGTGGTTGGTGCACTTTACACGAAATTCGTTGATTTCACGAACGATTGCCTTGTTTGGGAAGCTCTGAAACCCAACCTGGCGACAATGTGGACATGTTTTTGTCTTCCTTTGCGTTGTGGAGGCAAACCACTGTTTGAGACAAGAGTCACAATAATGCTGTCCACAGCAGACGGTAAGACGAGCTTCTCGAAGGACCTTGGTACATATTTGGCAGCAGTATTTGCTCGGTATTTCATCTACAAACGAACATTCGTAGCCCCCGACGGCAGCACTTACGGACGACGTAGCCATTAGCCATCCCGCCCCTTTCTTCTAGCACCGCCGTGCCACCGCCCCCTTTTTAACACGCGCAGTCCGACTGAGCATGCGCAGGAAATCCCACCCGCCGAACTTTCAGGGCGGGGAAATTTTAGAAATCGAATCTCGTCATTTTCCCTCGAGTGTTGGGCAGCCCATTAAACAGTACACACTAATAGTTGATGCATAATAACAATAATCCTCTAGCCTATTATGGAGACTACAGTTCAGTCAGGTTGTTACCAACACTGCAGGAGACCCCGCGACCGGGTCGTTACCAGAGCAACCAAACAATCGAAGGCAGGGTGACACCCCACATACTATTATCTTATCGAAACTCGTAATTATTTAGGATACACAATGTTTCAACTCTACTTAAATATTTTTTACAATTTACGTCATTTATGGTGTAAGCCAAAACAGGGCTTCTTTCACGGACACACTGTCTTACTAGCGGTCTTATATACTAGCAATATGAAAACTGTCATGAGCACCTGTGGCGTTCAAGCTTGTCTATACGTTTCAGTAGTTCATCTATAGCCGATTCATTCGCTCTGGCCATCACTTCGTATTTGCGACCCATTTCTTCTACTTTCTTTCCCCGGCCTTTATGCGCTTCGCGTTCAGCGTCACAAACAACACACTAGCTAGATATATAGCTAGCTAAATACGCACGCGCACCGTCTTGCCCCACCCACTTTTTCCTATAATACGCGCCCCAGGATGACTTGTGAAAATGTTATGCATACAATGGTAACTAATACAGTAATCACGGCCATCAACGTAAACATGGTGCACCATACTATGTTCTTGCTTTCATCTTTGAACTTGGCTTATCCAAATTTGTTTGCCTATTTTCTCAGTTTTAACTGTCAGTTCTTCTACTTTCCGAGTCAACTCTTCGTTTTTGCTGGCTAGGTTATTCGTCATTTTAGCCAGTGCTTCGCTCTTTCGCGCTAACTCCTGGTTTCTGATTACTAACTCCTGATTCAATTTTGCCATCAACAGCAGGTGGTTTTGCATGCTCCTCTGACAATGAACATCCATGTCTTTCCGCAGAATCGGATGTGTGTTACAGCCAGCATATTTGAAAGGGCAATCCAGTGGCTCTAGAACACATTTGTCACGATGGAGCGACATATTTTTCCGCTTGATATTCTTTGCACCACATTCGTTGGGACAATCAAGTGGGTAGTGGTCGCATTCATCGTAATGGGATCTCCCACTTTTCCCTTTCCCATTGATAGATCTATATGTCCCACGTGTATTGCAATACTGACAGGTATAGGGACGATTTTCACATTCTTCATTCTTGTGTTTGTCCATGTCCCTTTGAAGTATCTTTCCATGGGTGCATGAGTATGGGCAATCAAGTGGCTGCATAGGGCACACCTTGCAATGGTTTTGCATATCTCTGCGTTTGATTTCCAATTCACCACACTTGTTTACGCACTCCAGGGGATAATACTCACATGTTCCATAATGGCTACGAGTGTCATCTGTTAGTCTCAAACGTTTGCCTCTACCAGACATGGTATAAAAAGCTCCAACGTGGCCACAGTACTCACAGCTGTGTGGACGAAAATCACACTCTTTCTTGTGGCTCTCCATGTCTTTTCTAAGAATGTCAGCTCCGCAGAGACTATGAAATGGACATCCAATCTTTTATAGGGGGCACTGTTCTTGATGGGATTTCATGTCCTTGCGTCGGATATTCTTTTCTCCGCATCCATTCACACATTTTAGTGGGAAATTTTCACACGTATTGTAATGATTTCCTGATGTTACTTTTGAATGTAGGTTTCTCGCTTCTCCTGCCCCAGCTATGGCATCATAAGTATCGACATAGCCGCAGTACCCGCAGGTGTACTGACGATACTTGCACTTATTCTCAGAGTGGTCGACAAGATGTCCTCGTTCCATTTCTGCCCCACATACCACACGCGTCAAACCTGACAATACGTTCTCTATAATATAATAGTGTTTGTATGCTCCATTATTACATTTAACCCTAACCAAACGACAGCCACTATCAGACTCGAGATGATCCTTGATTGATTGAAGCTCACCTACCCATTTGCACCCCTGTTCGAAATTAGTGCACCGAACTCGAAACTCGTTAATCTCACGGATCTTCTCCTTGTTCAGTACGTGTTGAAAGTTCCTACTTCGACAGTAGGGGCATCTTTTTTGGTAAGGGTTTCTAAGCCACTGCTCGAGGCAGGAATCGCAGTAGTGCTGGCCGCAGCATTCTGCTAGGCGGACCTTTCTCAAAACCTTCATACAGATGGAGCAGATGTACTTGGGAGGGACCTCGTCCACGAACTCGTAGTCGTATCCAGCGCTGGGGAGACGGGCTAACTGTACATAAGATCGAAGCAATACTATCTTGAGACTTACCTATAATTGCTGGCCATCGTGTCTGTCCGACTGTGCCGCGAGAAACTGCTCGGTGTATAAGCTGCCAGCACGTCGCGGGGCCCCGCGGGTGCGGTGATAGCTATAGGCCTAAAAATAGTTGCCAAAAATAGACAGGCTCAGAGTAGGTATATACATCGCTACTGCGTAAGTTTACTCCCTCGAGAGTTGTTATGTATATGCACAGCCCATTCAACACTAAATTTTGACAATAATCCTCTAGCCTATTACAGTTCAGTCATGATGTCACCCCACATATATACCGCTATTTGTATCAAAACTCATTACATATTTAGCATACACAATGTTTTCAATGGCTGGATTTGCAACCGATCCCTACTATGGCACCATACGAGTGTCCACAGTGCAAGTGTACACTACGACGTATACACAGCTTTTCTAGGTGCTCAAGTCAAACTGCCTCTCCCTGCACCCTTTTCTGCATACAACTACAACATTTCCGCACCTGTCCTGCTCGAGATTTTGTTTCAAATCTTCCAGTGCTCCACTCCAATGGCAGCCTACTAGTCGGTACACACACCTAAACCCTATATACACCGTGTGCCATGCACATCATGCAAAAGCGAGTGCAAAAGTTTAGCTACGTGACCATAGTATATACAGCACATGTGATCGCAACCATGCATGTTTATCCAGGATGTTTACCACATTCTAAGAGAGCAATGCACACAATGCTATGGTGCCTCTAAAACATAAACGTGTTAGTGTCATAACTGAGTCGGATCCGTTTAGGATTTGGAGCCAGTTCCTCAACCTTACGAACTAGTTCCTCGTTCTTGCGAGTCAACTCGTCACATTTTCCGGCTAACTTCTGATGTGCCTCTGCCACCAACAGCAAGTGGTTCTGCACGCCTTTGTTGCAATGCCTGTCCATGTTCTTACGTAGAACGGGAAGACTACAACCAGCATACTTGAAAGGGCAGTTGAGTTTCTCCAGAGGACACCTCTCTCGATGGAGTGGTATATTCTTGCGTTTGATGCTCTTTTTTCCACATTTGTTGGGACAATCAAGTGGGTAGTGGTCGCATACATCGTAATGGGATCTCCCACTTTTCCCCTTTCCCATTGATAGATCTATATGTCCCACGTGTATTGCAATACTGGCAGGTATAGGGACGATTTTCACATTCTTCATTCTTGTGTTTGTCCATGTCCCTTTGAAGGATCTTTCCATGGGTGCATGAGTATGGGCAATCAAGTGGCTGCATAGGGCACACCTTGCAATGGTTTTGCATATCTCTGCGTTTGATTTCCAACTCACCACACTTGTTTATGCACTCAAGTGGATAATACTCACATATTTCATAATGGCTAGGATTGCCATCTGGTAGTCTCCAACATTTTCCCGTTCCAGACATGGTATAAAAAGCTCCAACGTGGCCACAGTACTCACAGGTGTGTGGACGAAAATCACACTCTTTCTTGTGGCTCTCCATGTCTTGTCTAAGAATGTCAGCTTCGCAGATACTATGAAATGGACATCCAATCTTTTCTAGGGGGCACTGTTCTTGATGGGATTTCATGTCCTTGCGTCGGATATTTTTTTCTCTGCATCCATTCACACATTTGAGTGGAAAATTTTCACACGTATTGTAATGATTTCCTGATGTTACATTTGAATGTTGGTTTCTCATTTTCCCTGTGCCAGCTATGGCATCATAAGTATCGACATAGCCGCAGTACTCGCACGCATACTGACGACACCTGCACTTATTCTCCGAGTGGTCGGCGAGATATCCTCGTTCCATTTCTGCCCCACATACCACACGCCCCATTCTAAAACCTTACAGTGTGTATGCTCCATTGTTACATTTAACATGAACCAAACGGCAGCCACTATCAGACTCGAGATGATTGTTGATTGATTGCAGCTCACCTACCCATTTGCACCCCTGTTCGAAATTAGTGCACCGAACTCGAAACTCGTTAATCTCACGGATCTTCTCCTTGTTCAGTACGTGTTGAAAGTTCGTACTTCGACAGTAGGGGCATATTTTTTGGTAAGGGTTTGACCTAAACCACTGCGCGAGGCAGGAATCGCAGTAGTGCTGGCCGCAGCATTCTGCTAGGCGGGCCTTTCTCAAAACCTTCATACAGATGGAGCAGATGTACTTCGGAGGAACCTCGTCCACGAACTCATAGTCGTTCTAGCCAACTCCTCGTGTGATTTGGCCAACAACAGAAGATGCTTCTGCGTGCTCTCTTGACAATGGCTATCGATGTGTGCACATTGCATAACGTCCGTGCAGCCAACGTATCTGAAAGGGCAGTCGAGTGGTTCCAGTAAGCAGGCTGCGCGATGGGTCTTCATATCCCTACGCTTGATGTTCTTTTCTCCACAACTGTTTGGACAGTCTAGCGGGTACTGGGCACATTGGTCGTAATGGCTGAATCTGCAGCCGATCCCTACTATGGCGCCATACGAGGCTGTATGTCCACAATGCTCACAAGTGTATCTACGACCTATACACAGCTTTTCTAGGTGCTCAAGTACAAACTGCCTCTCCATTCTTTCCCTGCACCCTTTTCTGCATACAACTACAACTTTTCCGCAACTGTCCTGCTCGAGATGTTGTTTCAAATCTTCCAGTGCTCCACTCCAACGGCAGCCTCCTTGTCGGTAGACGCACCTAACCATAAGCTCATTGATTTCCCGCATCTTCTCCTTGTTCAAGACACTTTGAAAATCTGGTTGTCACGATGGAGCGACATATCTTTCCGCTTGATATTCTCTGCACCACATTTGTTGGGACAATCAAGTGGGTAGTGGTCGCATACATCGTAATGGGATCTCCCACTTTTCCCTTTCCCATTGATAGATCTATATGTCCCACGTGTATTGCAATACTGACAGGTATAGGGACGATTTTCACATTCTTCATTCTTGTGTTTGTCCATATCTCTTTGAAGGACCTTTCCAATGGTGCATGAGTATGGGCAATCAAGTGGCTGCATAGGGCACACCTTGCAATGGTTTTGCATATCTCTGCGTTTGATTTCCATTTCACCACACTTGTTTACGCACTCAAGTGGATAATACTCACATGTTTCATAATGGCTAGGAGTGCCATCTGGTAGTATCCAACGTTTTCCCCGTTCCAGACATGGTATAAAAAGCTCCAACGTGGCCACAGTACTCACAGCTGTGTGGACGAAAATCACACTCTTTCTTGTGGCTCTCCATGTCTTGTCTAAGAATGTCAGCTCCGCAGTGACTATGAAATGGACATCCAATCTTTTCTAGGGGGCACTGTTTTTGATGGGATTTCATGTCCTTGCGTCGGATATTCTTTTCTCCGCATCCATTCACACATTTGAGTGGGAAATTTTCACACGTATTGTAATGATTTCCTGATGTTACTTTTGAATGTTGGTTTCTCATTTTCCCTGTGCCAGCTATGGCATCATAAGTATCGACATAGCCGCAGTACTCGCACGCATACTGACGATACCTGCACTTATTCTCCGAGTGGTCGGCAAGATATCCTCGTTCCATTTCTGCCCCACATACCACACGCCCCATTCTAAAACCTAACACTTTCCCATTGTGTGCGTATGCTCCATTGTTACATTTAACATGAACCAAACGGCAGCCACTATCAGACTCGAGATGATTGTTGATTGATTGCAGCTCACCTACCCATTTGCACCCCTGTTCGAAATTAGTGCACCGAACTCGAAACTCGTTAATCTCACGGATCTTCTCCTTGTTCAGTACGTGTTGAAAGTTCGTACTTCGACAGTAGGGGCATATTTTTGGTAAGGGTTTGACCTAAACCACTGCTCGAGGCAGGAATCGCAGTAGTGCTGGCCGCAGCATTCTGCTAGGCGGGCCTTTCTCAAAACCTTCATACAGATGGAGCAGATGTACTTCGGAGGGACCTCGTCCACGAACTCATAGTCGTATCCAGCGCTGGGGAGACGGGCTAACGGTACATAAGATCGAAGCAATACTATCTTGAGACTTACCTATAATTGCTGGCCATCGTGTCTGTCCGATTGTGCCGCGAGAAACGCTGTAGCTGCCGGCACGTCGCGGGCGTTAGGCGGCCCCGCGGGTGCGGTGATAGCTAGGCCTAAAAATAGTTGCCAAAAATAGACAGGCCCAGAGTAGGTATATACATCGCTACTGCGTAAGTTTACTCCCTCGAGAGTTGTTATGTATGCACAACCCATTCAACACTAAATTTTGACAATAATCCTCTCACAGTACAAGTGTACACTACGACGTATACACAGCTTTTCTAGGTGCTCAAGTCAAACTGCCTCTCCCTGCACCCTTTTCTGCATACAACTACAACATTTCCGCACCTGTCCTGCTCGAGATGTTTGTTTCAAATCTTCCAGTGCTCCACTCCAATGGCAGCCTACTAGTCGGTACACACACCTAAACCCTATATACACCGTGTGCCATGCACATCATGCAAAAGCGAGTGCAAAAGTTTAGCTACGTGACCATAGTATATACAGCACATGTGATCGCAACCATGCATGTTTATCCAGGATGTTTACCACATTCTAAGAGAGCAATGCACACAATGCTATGGTGCCTCTAAAACATAAACGTGTTAGTGTCATAACTGAGTCGGATCCGTTTAGGATTTGGAGCCAGTTCCTCAACCTTACGAACTAGTTCCTCGTTCTTGCGAGTCAACTCGTCACATTTTCCGGCTAACTTCTGATGTGCCTCTGCCACCAACAGCAAGTGGTTCTGCACGCCTTTGTTGCAATGCCTGTCCATGTTCTTACGTAGAACGGGAAGACTACAACCAGCATACTTGAAAGGGCAGTTGAGTTTCTCCAGAGGACACCTCTCTCGATGGAGTGGTATATTCTTGCGTTTGATGCTCTTTTTTCCACATTTGTTGGGACATTCAAGTAGGTATTGTCCGCACACGTCGTAGTGACATTCTCCTTGCAGAGGGGATTCCCCTTTGCCTGTGATGGATTTGTAAGTCCCACGTCTTCAATGTAGCAGTACCATACATCTATACGACGGTGCTCGCAATCTAACTTATGTCCCCTTCATATTCTTCGCATATCTTCTTGCAGTTGATGACTGCCATACGACGCACTCCAGAAGCTGCTAAAGGGCAGTTATTATCTCGATGAGTCCTCTAATCCTTACGTTTTATATTCTTTCGACCGCATTCATTGACACAATCTAGTGATAGTGGCCGACACTTCATCCATAGTGACTTCAGCTCATGTGACACCGTACTTTCCTCTTTGTTGCAGTTATGGCGCAAATGTTTTTACGCAGAAGCTCTAAAGGGCAGTTATTTCGATGAGTCCTCATATCCTTACGTTTTATATTCTTCTGACCGCATTCATTGACACAATCTAGTGGATAGTGCCGACACTTCTCATAGTGACTCAGCTCATGTGACACGTATTTCCCTTTGCCAGTTATGGACGCAAATGTTTTTACTGCCTCCCCAGAGCCAACTATGGCGTCGTATGTGTCAGTGTAGCCACAGTATTCGCATTTGTACTGGCGGAATTTACACTCCCTCTCCTGGTGTGCAGCTAAGAACTGTCGCTCCACTTCCACTTCACACCTAGTAGCATCGTCACACGTGGACGGTGAGTAAAGTACGCCCGTTTGCTACACTTTACCAGGACGTATCGGCAGCCGCTGTCCGAGTGGAGATGGTCTTTTAGTGTTCCCAGTTCCCCTACCCATTTGCAACCCTGTTCGAAATTTGTGCACCGAACACGAAACTCGTTAATTTCACGGATCTTCTCCTTGTTCAGTACGTGTTGAAAGTTCGTACTTCGACAGTAGGGGCATATTTTTTGGTAAGGGTTTGACCTAAACCACTGCGCGAGGCAGGAATCGCGTAGTGCTGGCCGCAGCATTCCGCTAAGCGAGGATTTCTCAGAACCTTGGTACAGATGACGCAGATGTACTGGGAGGACCTCGTCCACGAACTCGTAGTCGTATCCCACGCTGTCATCTTCTGCTGGTCCACTGGAGGGAGAAATAGATGACCTTATGTTTTGCCCAGTCTCGCATGGCCTAGTGAGATCACTCTGGCCCGCGAGACTAGTAGCGCTTACCTACGGCAGGCCATTCCGGGCCGAGCTAGGTGTACTCTATGCGCACGCATGCGCACGCGATTCTTATCCGCGCGTGTGGCAGAACATGTATAATTATTATAATTATACTCAAGCAGCTAGGGTTAGCTAGGGTACATCAAGTATTCAAGCATCAATATCGATAAGAGAAACCACTTCCATGTCCTCTCTCCAGGGCCTCCAGGCGTCTCATTACACTTTGACTTTGATGCTCTAATTCCGTATTTTTTCGAAGCAGTTCGTCATGTGATTTCATCATCATCAGCAGATGAGTCTGCATATTGGTCTGACAATGACCCTCCATACCACGACGTGCCATCTTTGAGGTGCAGCCAACGTTCTTGAATGGACAGTCCAGAGACTCCAGTGGACACTTTTCCCTGTGCCTGAAATGTCACCGCGTTTGATGGCCTTTTCTCCACATTTATTAGGACATTTTCACTGGATACTGCCGACATACTGCATAGTGGTTTGAACTCAGGGTGGGCATTGATTGTGGACTGATCAAGATGTATCCTCCCACTGCCAGCTATTGCATCGAAGGTGTTCATATGCCCACAAAATTCACATTTCTTCTGACGAAACTTGCATTCTTTTCCGTGTTTGGGAGACGCACCTAACCCTAAGCTCATTGATTTCCCCCATCTTCTCTTTGTTCAAGACACTTTGAAAATCTGGTTGTCGGCAATGTGGGCACGTATTTTGAGCCTTCTGAGCTGTTGTTGATTGCCATTGCTGGAGGCAGGAGTCGCAGAAGTGCTGGCCGCAGCACACCGTCAGTCGTGCTTCTCTTATGACTTTGTGGCAGATGTTACAGATGTACTTTGGAGGGACTCTGGCTACAAACTCGTAGTCATAGCCATCAGGCTCTGGTTCGCTGTCAAGGAAAACATACAGCATACGCTCACTTAATGAAGCATGACCTTAGCTACGTATACCTGTTTGCCATGATCGATCACAGCTAGCTAGCTAGCTCACAGCGTGCCAGCCAGCCACGTGGGGGGCCGATGCGCAGTTGTGCGCGTGCGTGTACGTACATACGTGTGTGTAGGGTCGCGGCGCGCGCATGAACTGGGGGTTGGGAAATTCTCGTCAGTTCGGAGGCATTCAGAGTGGCTTGAGGAGTTTCCTCAGTTGAGGTACTGAGAGACATGTACTATAAAAATGATCCAATGGCAGCCTACAGTCGGTACACCCTATAATTATGCATGTCATGCAAAAGCGAGTGCAAAAGTTTAGCTACGTGACCTTAGTATATACAGCACATGTGATTGCAACCGGGTCGTTACCAGAGCAACCAAACAATCGAAGGCACGCAGGGTGACGTCGGTATGACATCAACCCACATACCATTATCTTATCAAAACTGGTAGGATACACATGTTTCAACTCTACGTAAATATTATGTACAATTTATGCCATTTACTGAAAAAGGGCTTCTTTCACGAACACACAGTCTTACTAGCTGTCTTACTAGCAATATGAAAACTGTCATGAGCACCTGTGGCGTTCAAGCTTGTCTATACGTTTCAGTAGTTCATCTATAGCCGATTCATTCGCTCTGGCCATCATTTCGTATTTGCAACCCATTTCTTCTACTTTCTTAGCCATCTTGTCACTATCCCCGAGGAGTTCCTCATTCTTTTGGACCATTTTCTCATTTTTAACAATTAGTTGCTTGTGGGATAGGGACACCATCTTTAGGTGTGCGTGCACATTTGTCTGACAGTGAGCATGTATCTCATTCTGTGGTATCCTGTGAGTGCAGCCAGCATACTTAAAAGGACAGTCGAAGAGTTTTTTACATTTATCGTAGTGGCGAGGCCAACTCCGTATGCAAAAGATCCCTATGCCAGTTATGGCTTTATACGTGTCGGTAAAGCCACAATATTCGCATGTGTACGGACGATATTTGCACTCTTTCTTGTGATTTTGAATGTCTTTACGTTGGATATGTCCTTGCAATTCAAAGGCGCAAACTTCCCCCCCAAAAGGACATTTAACTTGTTCGAATGGACACATGTGTTTCTCTACTCGCTTCACTTTTGCGTCACAAGTTACACACTGGTGGTCCAAAGGATACTGTTCACACATTTCATAGTGAGAGTAGCAGCCTAAGAGCGATACATGTCCTTTGCCTGTTATTGAGGCATACGTCCCTACATGGCCACAATATTCGCACTGATAGGGACGAATGTCACACTTCTTTGAATTGTGAGTCTTCAAGTCTTTGCGAAGGTAAGTTACGCTGCACAGTTTGCAGTGAATCGGTCCCTCAGGACAGGTCTTTCGGTGATCTTCCATGTCTTTTCGCTTAATTCCCTTTTTCCCACAGCTATTAACACAAGCCAGTGGATAATTCTCACATGTATCGTAATGGCAACCACTTTCACAGTTCCCCAGTTATTGACACATAGGTTCCCAAAGTACCACAGTGTATACAGTGGTAAGGGCGCAGCATGCAACTGGATTTTTTGTGATATTCCATGTCTTTGCGCAATTTCTCCTGACCACACTTAAACGGGCATGATAGGGTTTCTAGTGGACAATTGTCCCGATGGGACTCTAGGTCCTTTCGCTTTATTTTTGCACCACACTTTCTTGGGCAATTCAGCGGATAATGCTCACATACACCGTAATGATTGAAGGAAGATCCAACGGTTGAATTCTGATTTCGTACTCGTCCACTTCCGGCTATAGCATCGTAGGTATCGACATAGTTACAATGTTCACAGGTATACTGCCGAAACAGGCACTCGCTTTCCAGATGTTTAGCAAAATACCTTCACTCCACTTTGACTGAACAAACTACGTTCCTTTTCTTGTAGTACAAATACCCACCTCTGCCACATTTTACTAGCACATAACCACAGCCCCTATCTGATTTTAGATGCTTGCCTATATCACTTAACGTCCCCACCCACACGCAACCTTTGGGCTTTTTAGTGCAGCGAACACGGAGTTCATTGATCTCACGAACTTTCTCTTTGTTCAGCATAGACGCGAGGTTCACTTCGCGACATAGCGGGCACGATTTTTCCATTCCCTTCGTGGCCAGCCATTTCGTAAGGCACCCGCCACAGAAGTGCTGACCACAGCAGGCGGTGAGGCGGGCGTCCCTCAATACCTTGTAGCAAATGGCGCACAGGTACTTTTCTGGCACTGGATCAGCGAACTCGTAGTCATAACCGCCGCTGTGATCAAACGTCATAATAGCAAAATGAAAAAATTGCACACGGGAACATTTACTTACCTGTCACTGGCCATCAGAAACGTGCTAGCAGCGTCTTGCTTGCTGGGATGATGGCCGGCTGTACCCGAGGCTGTTGGCAAAATTGGCAGGGCCGCGCCTAGGGGTGGGCCTAATTCTGAGCATGCGTAGCATGCATGATCGCTACGGAAGAACACGCACGCGCGCCCGACTGGATGATCTCACCTGACATCACGGTATTCATAGTCACATGATGATGTACTGTTCCACCCTGGAACCGGAATGAGACCAACACCTCCATGCCTACCACAAATTTTCACAAAACAGCAGACCTTAGTGACTAAGAGCAACCATGGGCAGGGTGCCGCCAGTATTATGTCACCACCATCATTGCCTCAGAACTTACAATGTCTTGATCAAAAGATGGCCCCTTGATTTGATATTAGCAAATGCTTCCACGGTCAGTGAGTGACAATGTCAAGACTTGCCCCCAAATGTTTGTCCATATACGTATGCGCGCCAGAGACCAATTAAAGATTATACACACCATCTCATTAAACTGCATGCATTGTATAATACATAAGGTAAACATGCAGCTTATTTTATACTCAAAGCGAAAACTATCAGTCCTTTGACATAATTTTCTTTATGTTATACAATGGTGAGGTAATTTTTTGTTCTGCAAGTTCACTTAAAAGTCTCCGATTTTCTTGAACCAACTCTTTGTGTGCCTTGGCCAGCAGCAAAAGATGCTTCTCCACACTATTTTTACAGTGGCTGTCCATGTGTCTGCGTTGTATCTCGCCTGTGCAGCCGACATGATCAAAAGGGCATTTAAGTTGCTCAAGCTCACAAAATTCACGGTGGGTCTCCATGTCCTTGCGTTTAATGTTTTTCTCTCCACACTTATTGGGACATTCCAGTGGATATTCTTCGCATCTATCATAATGGCAATGTTGGAAAAATGCGAAATGTCCTTTCCCTGCTATGGAATCGTACTTATCTTCATAGCCACAATGTTCACAAGTATACTTGCGCTTTTTGCACTTATTAACCCTCGCGCGCATGCGCAGCGAGGGTTACGGTAGTTGTCCCGTAAGTGTGTCTGTCTGTCTGTCAGTCAGTCTGTCTGTTACCACATTTTCTGCCACCGCGCGCCACGAAATCAGGTAAATAGCGATATGATCGGGTTCAGTGCTACACTGGGTTGATTTTAAAAAAGGCGATTTTCGTAAAACTACTGTGTTTTAAAGTTATGGCGTGAAAACCAAGTGAACAAGCCAATATGTAAATTAGCACAGGCTTACCTCGACCGCGTCCGTTCGCTCTGTGTGTCTTGAAGGCACAACAAGTCACAACGAAGGGTATGTATCGACTCCCGCATGCTATTTACTACTGTAGCTAGCCCGTGCCAGACTCTCCGCGAGCTACTAGCGGGATACCACGAGTAAAGGCATAAAAAGCCCAGCCCATCAATTAGTGGTACCGCACATGCGCAGTTCGCCGAGGATTTGCACTTTAGTGCTTTTCATTTTCGAGGTGCTCACGGAGGTGTTGCCGCTGTAGTTCCTCTCCACAGCGATTATTACATGACACTTTTTTCCCCCACATTCCTTAACATGTTTTTCTATATCCCTCAAAGGGCCATACCAATAACAACCTGATCCAATGCTACCTACATTCCGATAAATACACTGAACTTTCAGCCCATAAATCTCCCTCGTTTTCTCCATATATATTCAGAACGCTCTGAAAGTTTTTCTGCTTGCAATTCGGACAGGTATTTGTTTGGCTTATACAAGAGTCACAATAATTTTTTGAACAACATCCAGTGAGCTTTGCATTTCTCATAACCTTTCTACAGATGGTGCAGATATACTTCTGGTCCACACCCACGAAGCTATAGTCGTAGCCTCCAGTTATTTTGCTGTGATGCAAGAGAGGATATAACTGTTTATAATGCACATAATGCTAGGTTCATACCTGTTGCTGGCCATCTTGAATCGAAGAAAAAGGGGCGGCTTTCTTCGCGACTTGCTTGATATGCGCGCGCCCCACGGCCTTTTTATGCGCTTCGCGTTCAGCGTCACAACAACACACTAGCTAAATACGCACGCGCACCGTCTTGCCCCACCCACTTTTTCCCTTGTGAAAATATTATGATCTCACCTACATACAATGGTAACTAATACAGTAATCACGGCCATCAACGTAAACATGGTGCACCATACTATGTTCTTGCTTTCATCTTTGAACTTGGCTTATCCAAATTTGTTTGCCCATTTTCTCAGTTTTAACTGTCAGTTCTTCTACTTTCCGAGTCAACTCTTCGTTTTTGCTGGCTAGGTTATTCGTCATTTTAGCCAGTGCTTCGCTCTTTCGCGCTAACTCCTGGTTTCTGATTACTAACTCCTGATTCAATTTTGCCATCAACAGCAGGTGGTTTTGCATGCTCCTCTGACAATGAACATCCATGTCTTTCCGCAGAATCGGATGTGTGTTACAGCCAGCATATTTGAAAGGGCAATCCAGTGGCTCTAGAACACATTTGTCACGATGGAGCGACATATTTTTCCGCTTGATATTCTCTGCACCACATTTGTTGGGACAATCAAGTGGGTAGTGGTCGCATACATTGTAATGGGATCTCCCACTTATCGCTTTCCTATTGATAGATCTATATATCCCACGTGTATTGCAATACTGACAGGTATAGGGACGTTTTTCACATTCTTCATTCTTGTGTTTGTCCATGTCTCTTTGAAGTATCTTTCCATTGGTGCATGAGTATGGGCAATCAAGTGGCTGCATAGGGCACACCTTGCAATGGTTTTGCATATCTCTGCGTTTGATTTCCATTTCACCACACTTGTTTACGCACTCAAGTGGATAACACTCACATGTTTCATAATGGCTAGGAGTGCCATCTGGTAGTATCCAGTGTTTCCCCGTTCCAGACATGGTAAAAAAAGCTCCAACGTGGCCACAGTACTCACAGCTGTGTGGACGAAAATCACACTCTTTCTTGTGGCTCTCCATGTCTTTTCTAAGAATGTCAGCTCCGCAGTGACTATCAAATGGACATCCAATCTTTTCTAGGGGGCATTGTTCTTGATGGGATTTCATGTCCTTGTGTCGGATATTCTTTTCTCCACATCCATTCACACATTTGAGTGGAAATTTTTCACACGTATTGTAATGATTTCCTGATGTTACTTTTGAATGTTGGTTTCTTGCTTCTCCTGTGCCAGCTATGGCATCATAAGTATCGACATAGCCACAGTACTCGCAGGTGTACTGACGATACTTGCACTTATTCTCAGAGTGGTCGGCAAGATATCCTCGTTCCATTTCTGCCCCACATACCACATGCATCATTCCAAGACCAAACATGTTCCCATAGTGTGTGTATGCTCCATTATTACATTTAACCCTAACCAAACGGCAGCCACTATCAGACTCGAGATGATCCTTGATTGATTGAAGCTCACCTACCCATTTGCACCCCTGTTCGAAATTAGTGCACCGAACTCGAAACTCGTTAATCTCACGGATCTTCTCCTTGTTCAGTACGTGTTGAAAGTTCGTACTTCGACAGTAGGGGCATATTTTTTGGTAAGGGTTTGACCTAAACCACTGCGCGAGGCAGGAATCGCAGTAGTGCTGGCCGCAGCATTCTGCTAGGCGGACCTTTCTCAAAACCTTCATACAGATGGAGCAGATGTACTTGGGAGGGACCTCGTCCACGAACTCGTAGTCGTATCCCACGCTGTCATCTTCTGCCGGTCCACTGGAGGGAGAAATAGATGACCTTATGTTTTGCCCAGTCTCGCAGGGGCCTAGTGAGACCACTCTGGCCCGCGAGACTTATAGTGCTTACCTACGGCAGGCCATTCCGGGCCGAACTAGGTGTACTCTATGCGCGCGCATGCGCACGCGATTCTTATCCGCGCGTGTGCATTCTGTAGCAGAACTTTACTCAAAAGCAGCTAGGGTTAGCTAGGGTACATCAAGTATTCACGCATCAATATTGATAAGAGAAACCACTTCTATGTCCTCTCTCCAGGGCCTCCAGGCGTCTCATTACACTTTGACTTTGATGCTCTAATTCCTGGTTTTTGTGCACCAACTCCGTATTTTTTCGAAGCACTTCGTCATGTGATTTCATCATCATCAGCAGATGAGTCTCCATGTTGGTCTTGATTTCACGAACGATTGCCTTATTTGGGAAGCTCTGAAACGCAACCTGGCGACAATATGGACATGTTGGTCCTCCAAAATGTGAGGCGGCAGACCACTGCAGCAGGCAGGAGTTGCAAAAGTGGTGTCCACAGCAGACGGTAAGACGAGCATCTCTCAGGACCTTGGAACATATGTGGCAGTTGTATTTGGAGGGGACTTCGTCTACGAACGAGACTTCGTATCCACCAACATCGCTGTAGTATTATAGTACAGAGTACACGAGTAAGCAGCAAACACTAACTCTATTATATACCCGTACGAGGGAGTCGCTGAACTGTAAGGCACTGATGGCGGCTGCAGGGCGGGTAATTGTGAGACTCCATAACTCCACATCATCTTCTCCCTACACACCCCTGCGGCGCAAGTCCGCCAGCAGCCGACTCGCACGCGCAACGCTGCGGCGCCCCCAACGATCGAACAATTGACCCGCATTCTCCCTCCTCCAAATTTGGGCGACTATTATTGTATATACTATATATAAATGCATTCATGACTCCTTTTAGAGAAGCAGCTATAGTTTTTCCTACTTGTCTTCTAGCTCTTTTACACGTTTCAGTAGTTCGTCATGTGACTTCATCATCATCAGCAGATGAGTCTGCATGTTGGTCTGACAATGACCCTCCATATCACGACGTGCTATCTTTGAGGTGCAGCCAACGTTCTTGAATGGACAGTCCAGAGACTCCAGTGGACACTTTTCCCTGTGATCTGAAATGTCACCGCGTTTGACGGCCTTTTCTCCACATTTATTAGGACATTCCACTGGATACTGCCGACATACTGCATAGTGGTTTGAAAAATGGAGGGTGGCAGTTCCTGTACAACGGAGGTGTATTTCCCCACTTCCAGCGATTGCATCATAAGTATTGACATGGCCGCAATGTTCACATTTGTAGCTACGAAATTTGCATGTTTCTTGGTGTTTAGCTAATGAGCGTCGTTCACACTGGGCATTACATATGATTGCAGAGTAGATCATAAAATATCCAGAATTGCCACATTCAACCATTACAAACCCACATCCATCATCTGATTTGATATGTTTCTCCAAATCCCCCAGTTCCCCCACCCAGTCACACCCCTTCTCGTGGTTGGTGCACTTTACACGAAATTCGTTGATTTCACGAATCTTTTCCTTATTTGGGAAGCTCTGAAAACCTTCCTGGCGACAATGTGGACATGTTTTTGTCTCCCTTTGCGTTGCTGAGGCAAGCCACTGCTGCAGGCAGGAGTCACAATAATGCTGTCCACAGCAGACGGTAAGACGAGCTTCTCGAAGGACCTTGGAACATATGTTGCAGTAGTACTTGCTCGGTATTTCATCTACAAACGAACATTCGTAGCCCCCGACGGCAGCACTTACGGACCGGACGACGTAGCCATTAGCGATCCCGCCCCTTTCTTCTAGCACCGCCGTGCCACCGCCCCCTTTTAACACGCGCAGTCCGACTGAGCATGCGCAGGAAATCCCATCCGCCGAACTTTCAGGGCGGGGAAATTTTAGAAATCGAATCTCGTCATTTTCCCTCGAGTGTTGGGCAGCCCATTAAACAGTACACACTAATAGTTGATGCATAATAACAATAATCCTCTAGCCTATTATGGAGACTACAGTTCAGTCAGGTTGTTACCAATACTGCAGGAGACCCCGCGACCGGGTCGTTACCAGAGCAACCAAACAATCGAAGGCAGGGTACTCAGTAGATTCACCCCACATACCATTATCTTATCGAAACTCGTGATTATTTAGGATACACAATGTTTCAACTCTACTTAAATATTTTTACAATTTACGTCATTTATGGTGTAAGCCAAAACAGGGCTTCTTTCACGGACACACTGTCTTACTAGCGGTCTTATCTAGCAATATGAAAACTGTCATGAGCACCTGTGGCGTTCAAGCTTGTCTATACGTTTCAGTAGTTTCATCTATAGCCGATTCATTCGCTCTGGCCATCACTTCGTATTGCGACCCATTTCTTCTACTTTCTTTCCCCGGCCTTTATGCGCTTCGCGTTCAGCGTCACAAACACACTACTAGATATGCTAGCTAAATACGCACGCGCACCGTCTTGCCCCACCCACTTTTTCCTATAATACGCGCCCCAGGATGACTTGTGAAAATGTTATGCATACAATGGTAACTAATACAGTAATCACGGCCATCAACGTAAACATGGGTGCACCATACTATGTCTGCTTCATCTTTGAACTGGCTTATCCAAATTGTTTGCCTATTTCTCAGTTTAACTGTCAGTTCTTCTACTTCCGAGTCAACTCTTCGTTTTGCTGGGCTAGGTTATTCGTCATTTTAGCCAGTGCTTCGCTCTTCGCGCTAACTCCTGTTTCTGATACTAACTCCTGATTCAATTTTGCCATCAACAGCAGGTGGTTTTGCATGCTCCTCTGACAATGAACATCCATGTCTTTCCGCAGAATCGGATGTGTGTTACAGCCAGCATATTGAAAAGGGCAATCCAGGGCTCTAGAACACATTTGTGCACGATGGAGCGACATATTTTCCGCTTGATATTCTTTGCACCACATTCGTTGGGACAATCAGTGGGTAGTGGTCGCATACATTGTAATGGGATCTCCCTTATCCCTTTCCCATGATAGATCTATATGTCCCACGTGTATTGCAATACTGACAGGTATCGGGACGTTTTTCACATTCTTCATTCTTGTGTTTGTCCATGTCTCTTTGAAGTATCTTTCCATGGTGCATGAGTATGGGCAATCAAGTGGCTGCATAGGGCACACCTTGCAAGGTTTTGCATAT